TTATAATTCATATATTATTATTACTATCGTGTTATTTTTATTTCGTACTATTATTATCATTTTAATATTACACTAAAATTCTTAAGGAAACATTTTATTTTCAAGATTCCTAATATTGGTCCTCTTTTAAATTTTATTTAAAGATTACTCTTTGTATTTATCGCACTTTTATTATGTATACAATTTGATACATATAATTATTATTATTACTTTTAACATTTTTAATATTATATAAAAATTTTTAGGAAACATTTATATTTTTTTCAAAATTATTAACATTTATATTAATTTCATTTAGATTTTTTTATTTTTTACCAATAAAAAACCAATAAACTGCAAGAAATAAAAGTTCAGCACAGTGAAAAAATTCGCTCTATGAACAATATCGCATAAAACAACTAATCTGACAATGCTTATCTTTAGAATGCGACAAACATAATTATCGTGCTGCAACACGTGTGCGGCTATTAAAGCAAAGTTATTAAAATTGATAAACGTGAGAAACGAATTCTTTGTTTCATTCTAGTGCTTGATCTACAACGATCGAGTTATCGCAACTTCGCGTTTCTTATTGCGAAAGACCGCAGGCATTTGATTCACAACGATAAGATAATATTTATGGGCATTTTTATAATTGCTAATAAAGGTGCAATCTGAATATTCGCAAAATTACAAAGATCAATTTGTTCAAACATGAGGAAGTAAAGCTAGCTGCGTAGAAGAACGCTTTCGCTTCTCGCGAAACAGACGTTTAGCTGAAATCTAAACATAGCTCAATCCTACGAGGCAAAATATGTAGATTACAGACGATCTGTTCTAGTGTGTATATTCAAATATTCAGAATGATTTATGTAATAGCGAATTAAAATACACAATAGACTGTACTAAAACACATTTGTAACATTTGTATTCGTAATACGTACAACGGTTTGAGCTCCCAGGATAAATAAGGGAAAAAAATTCAATTTTGTAATGATTTTCAGAATTGTCTCGTTGTTTTTAAAGAAAGCATGATTTATATCCATTTCTACCAATGCATATTAATTTCAATCTCGGTTTAATTTACTTTTTATTTTTTTAGTTCTAAAAATTAGAAAAAAATAAAAAGTAAATTAAATCAAAATTAAAGTTAATTCACATTAATAGAAATGAATATTAAAACAGAAAAATACGAAGATATTTAATCTTAGACATATACAACATTTAAAAAATTGCACAAACATATCTCATAGACATAGTGTCGATTGGTCAACTTTTTCACAGCATCAATTTTTCAAGATTTTTAAAATCAATGTATTAAAGAGAATTCTGAGAAATAATAATATTCTGATAAAAAATAATAAAAAAATTGATATATCAATTGATATATCAATTAATGATAAAAATATTTTCGAAAAGAAATATTTCTAACAAAAACAAAAAAATTACGTCATCGCTCAAAGAAATTGTTTAATAAAGTATTAAGAAAAATAATCATTAAAAATATTTGAAAAAAAAATGTTTATAAAAAATATATTTAAAAAAATATGTTTTATGAATGCCAAGTATAAATGTAAAATAAACTTAGCAATTTTTATGTAATACATTTTTATTGCAGACAATAAACTTCAAGCTTTGTAATGGAAGAATTTTTAATGTTTTAGAAAAATTATTTCCTACATTTATTTTTTACAAATCTGTATATGATAAACAGAAAGATTAGAAACAAGAATGGAATAGAAACATCTTAAATAGCTGTAATAAATAGTTGTAAATAAAATTTTGCTGTATTAAACCAATCACCATCATATCCACAAACAAATGCTATAAAGCGTAAAAAAAAGCAATTACAGAATCTTCTATCTCCTCTTTTTCTTAGAAAGAATTATAAGGAAATACTTATACTAATACTTATAAGGAAATCCTTGAAGAAGAAAATTTTAGAACTTTTATTAGAGAAAATTTAGAATTTAAGAATAAAAATATATATTAAAATTAAAGTGAAAGAGATAATAACATAATTGCAATTAAAAATTTAAAAGTTAAAATTAAAAAAGTAAAATAATAAAAGATCTGTATAAACATGCAATACAGAAAATGTATATTCGTATATACATCTGCATTCATTACCGAAGTTGGAAATACGATACGCGCTACGTTCCATAGCATGTTAAAGATACAAATTAATGCAGATAGATGCAAATATACACCCGAGCTTAAGTCGGCTGAGTATTAGATACGGAATTATTAACACCACACAACACATACACACACACACACACACACACACACACACACACACACACACACACACACACACACACACATA